TTCAAACATTAGGAGTCTGAGCAACTAAATTTAACTCCCCTTATATCTTTTCAAAAGTAGCGAGATTATGAGGCTATCCATCAGAAGTTACCCATCTTTTATATCATCATTGCTAAAACATAATATATGAGTGATTTCATGGATAACTATTTCCATTAAATCTTCAAACACAATAGGATCTTCCAGATTTTTGCTAGTTAATAAACCTAAATTAAAATTAACTGTACCATGAGTAGGTCCTAAACGATCTATAAATTAACACCAATTAGCGTTGGCTAAAGCATTGTTACTTGATTCAACTGTATATGATACATATAGATGTAAATCAGAATTTCTTCCCTAAGTTTTATCTATATTAGGAACTTGAACTATTCCACAATTTTTTTTACTTGATTTATATCTCATATCTGTTTCTTTTCTTGGGATTATTTTTATTAAACGAGAAAAATAGTTAGTTGCCAATTACATTGCTTTCTCGATGCTACTAATTATTTTACTTACCTAATATATCATACAAGAATTAGCTAAAGGTTCGAAAAAATCCATATTATAGGTAATTACCATATTACGAGGTTTTTTCGTTTATAAATTACGAATATCTGAAAATTCTTCAATAGGATCTGGAGGAATGGATTCGTATTTTGAGATTTCTTTTATTTTATCATGGCCACATTCGTGTTTAAGGACTTTTAGACCGAAAACAAAGGTTATTAATACTAGGTATATTATAAGTTTATACATATTTTTTTAATTTTATTGTTAATTTGTTTTTATTTATATATTGTAATTAATAATTTTCTTATTAAATTTGTATGTAAATAACTAGAAAATATTATTTTTTAATTAAGAATAATAAAATAAAGATTTTTAAATTTTTTTTACAAATATAAATATAAATAATTTTTATAAAATAGAAAAATAAAAAAAATTATTTACATAATAAAAAAAATAAGTTAATAATTATATAATATTTATAAATAATGTTTAATATATGAATGAAAATATTAATTGTATTTTAATAGAATAAAAATATATATTTTATAAATAAGAATATTTAATTATATATTTAAATATAAATAAAAAAAAATATATATATGTATATATATTTATTTATATATAAATACATATATATATTTTTTTTTAATTTAGTTTTATTTAATTTTATATGTTTTCTGATATATTTTATATATTTTTTTATTTATAATTTATTTATTTTTATACTTTTATATTTAAAATCTTTATTTTTATTTATCATAATATAAAAATTTATTTTCTATAATTAATTTATATAAAAATAATAATAATTACTATATTTAAAATTTTTATAATATAATTTATCTTAAATATAATATATAATATATACTTTATGTTGATATAAAAGAATTTATTTATTTAAATTATTAAGATTATTTTATTTATTTAAAAACTAACATTTATATATATATATTTTATTTTTATATCCGAAAACAAATATTTATTTACTATGATACAAATTTTTTATAATATATTTTTTTTTCTTATTTTATTTTTAATAAAAATTTGTGATAAAAATCTAATTAATTTTTTTGTTTATTTATATATTATAATGATTAATTTTTTATATAATATTAAATAAATATTATTTATAATGATTATTTTTTTAAATAATTTTAAATATATTTTTTTATTTAAATTATTTTATACTAATTCTATATTTATACCCGTAAATATATTATAATTATCAAATTGTAAATACTATTAAAATTTTTAAAAAATGAAAAAATAAAATAATTCGTTATAACAATATAATTACTCATTTATATTGTCAGCTTAAGAATCCTCAAATATAAATGTGTTCACTATAAAATGAAATAAAAATACAAATACAAATCTATTCCACTTTTTATGGAATCTTAAAATATCTGTAATTTACAAAATAAATCTTTCTTTAATATGATAATAAACTACGACAAGATTTATTTATTAAAATTACCTCCTCATGATAGTTATAAATATTTTATTGGTTTATGCGAGAAAGCTGTATAATTAGCGATTGACTATTTTACTTTTGTACAACTTGCTAATTTAATGATCCTGAAATCAATAATTTATTTACCAAACCAACATATAAATGCTGGGATTTTAATAGTGTTTTAAACAAAAAAGAATTTATTGAAAGAAACGGAATTTACTTTAAGACTGATTCGAGGTTTTTTAACTCGAACTTACTTTCTAAAAAATAACTAGAAAAATGAAAAAATGGTGGGTTATTGTTTTTAAATATGAATGCAATCTAAATGGATAATAAGTCACTATACATGTATAAAAAGAAAAATTAGTTTGTAAATAAAATAAAGAAAAAATTACAGTTTTAAATTATTAAAGATATATAGAATGTTCTGAAAATATACAAGAATTTTGTGGGTATAAAAAAAACATGTCCAAATTTTTGTAGTGCAAGAGGATATTCCTTAAAAAAATAAATGTTATTGTATTAAAGGATTAAGTGGAGAATTTGCTAAAGAAAATAGCATGTTTGAAAAAAAATAGATATAAATAAATTAGAATTATATAAAAATGATTAATAAAAATATAAATTTTTTAATAAAAAAAAATATATGCAAAATGTATAATTAAATTAAATATTTCTATTAAAAAAAAATATGTTTAAAAAATTAAATTAATAAAAAATTATATAAATATATTTATTTTTAATTAATTACAAAATAAAATAATATTACAAATAAAAAATAATATTATTATACTTATAAATAATATAATATATATATATATATATATTTATATATATATTTTAAATATATATTTTATTTTTTATAAATATATTAATATATATTATTTGTCATTATATAAATTATTATATTTAAAGTACTTTTTAATATATACTTAATAATATTTTTTATAATTTATGCCTTCAAATAATAAAAAAAATTTATAAAATTCTTTAAAAACTTTATTAATTCAATAAAAATACTTTCTGATTGTTTAATTTACTATATATATTATATTAGAATATAACTTTTTTATTTTATTTTTTTTATAAAATAAATTAACAATTTACAATTATTTTTATTTATTAATATTAATATATTTATAAATTAAATTATATTAATAAT